TATTTAAAGGTCTTTTTATTCAAAAAAAATAAAATATATATATATATATATATATATATATATATTATATTTTGGAAAATATTACATGCATCACACACATTTGAAGGTCTTTTTAATCACACACATATTTAAAGGTCTTTTTATTCAAAAAATAAATATATTTATTATATTTTGGAAAATATTAAACATGCATATGACAGACCCTTTAATTATACTGTTTTCATTGTTTAAATTAATTAGATAAGCTAATTATGAACTATTTTATTTTAGAACTTAGCTGAGTAGAGTAAGTATACTATGTTTATTTCGAAAATGAGAATATTAAAATTTGTATAAAAATATACATTAATTACTGCGCTATTGTTATGTTTTAAATAAAAAATTTAATCCAAGCATCAGAACATGAAATTACTATTTTTTTCGTCTTAAAAGATTATTTAATGTACTGTCATATATTATGACATTAAATAGTTTAAAATTTAATGCTGTCATTGTTGGATTATCATATAACAGAAGTTTAGAGGGAATTCGAAATAATAAAATAGATTATTCATATAAATAAAAATGTTTTTCCTTTATCTGATTGTTTCACGTATTTCAATGATTGACCATGCAGAAAGGAATTTACACGAAACACTTAACACCAAAACACCAGCTTAAGATTCGTTGACTCAAGTCTTCGTTCAGACCAAAGGCTTGCATTGGAAGGTCGCTGGGTCCCACATCGCCGGCAAGAGAAACTTCCTGTCGTTACGGCCCTGCGCATTATAGCTCGCTCCCGTCGCCCGGTCCACCAGAACCTTGCCCGGGTAACCCGGAAACGCCCCTCTCCCGAAAATCCCCACGCAAGCCGAAACGGCTTCCAACGGCAACGTCGGGGGACCCTGATAATATCCACCGTTAAAGGGGTTGGTCACGGTTCCAGCCAACAGAGTTGCAATGTTTATGATCATGCCGTCGACGCCCACGTCACCGTTAGGTGCAACTAACGGCGGCGTCTGTGGTCCGAAAATGGGCTTGTGGAAGGGCCAGGCGCATTGGCCCGGACACTGGGTCTCGGAGTTGCCGACCCATACGTAGGGGATTTTCCCGTCAATGGAGTTGTGGGTTCCACAGCGGCCACTGCAGAAGCTGTCCACCGCGACGTCTTATGCGGTGAGAACAAGGTTGATTGCTCGGACGTCCTTGAAGCGTGATGCGAGGCCGTATAGTTGTTTTTCGTTGATGTGCTTCCCGAGAGAGTATGGCTCCATGATTTGCTTACCTACGGACAGCGTTGTGGAGCCGCCCTTGTACTCCTCCGTCGTCTTCCACCAAGATTTAACGGAGGGTGCTTGGGACCATGTGGCGGAGTTCAAGGAATTAACGAAGTCAACAATTATGGAGCGTTGGATATGGGTGAAATTCCCGTACCATAAAATATTAACGGTGAAACTACCCTTGAGGAGAGTTCCGTTGTGGTATATGAGCTCGAGCTTCTGCGCCTCCACGGTGGGCTTCAGCTGTAGCAGAACACACCACAACAGCATGACTAACAAACATTTGGAATCCATGTTGTAGAGAGATCGTTTGTGTTTTGGACGAAGAACATTGGTGATTAGAGACCCTATTTATACTATTCTGCATCCCTTTCTCTCTGCTGGTTTTACTGTATTGCATTCCAGATTTTCTAATTCCAGTTTCAAATATTAATCACATCTTTCAAAGTATTCCTAATTAGATAACTTCACTTCATGTATTCTTCTTATTCATACTAGTACTATAATTAATTTCAAAATGAATTTTATATAGAAAATATTACTGTTATATTATTATTTTTTAAAAAGTAATGAATACACATCTAATTTCACAAAACAATTTGATTAAGTCAACCTCAATATAATCATAGCCAGCTATTAAACTTTAAAAATTAACGGCATTAATTAATTCACTAATTAATTAGTTAGTACTGATGATTAGAGTGTTACTTTGGACTTTTTCTCTTTTTTTAAATTTGATCTGTGTTTTTTTGTCTAAATTTGTAATAGATTATCTATATAATAAATTATTTATAATATTTTTTATTTTATTTTTTACATTTTAGATTGCAATATATTACGTAATTAAAAATTAGGTAAAAAATGAAAAACATAAATAATTCAAATTATCTTAAATTAAAAAAGTAGCAAATAAATAAAACTCAAGAAATTTGAAAATTACGATACTTAAAAAATAATTAGGAATGACGGATGGGCAGGCTAACACTTATAAACTACAACAAAACAAAATGTTTATTATATTTTAATCCTATAATCGATCAAAACTCTTTCATATTTTTTTTATTCATTCACTTCAAGTTTAGAACTTAAGTTAACTCTATTATTTACATTTAACGTTTATAGAGTTTTAGTAGTTTAGACAATCATTTATTTTCATTTGTTTTTGTTCGTGAAAATTTGAACTTTGAGACATTTATTATATGCAGATATTAATTTTATGTAAACTTAACTTATTCCAATTTAATTGTCAGTTAAAGACTCATGAGTGTAGCAAAGATATAAAACATTAAAGTAACGTTAATCGTAACATTTGTATGTAATTTTTCAAAAGATTTTGTTTATGGAAATTTATCTGTGGGCGAATAATTATTCAAACCAACAATCTACTAAACAACTCAGGAGTTGGTCAATTTTATTAAATTTCTAGACTATGATAACTTAATAACTTTTCTAAATAACTTTTTAATAATAAATTATATGTTATTATTTTATTGGTCACTATATTTTAAACAAATCAATCATCAGCTACTGTAGTTGTAAAAAAGTTATCACATTTTCCTTAAATTTTATAAATTAAATGTGAAACAAGTAAAAAGTAGACAAATAAACTGAGTGTAGGTTAACCTACCCCTCATCAACCCTATGTGATGTTTTTGTAATGAACCAAATTGTAATAAGAGTTTTAAATTAAAAAAAAAACAATATTCCGAATGTGGTGATTGAAATAGGTCAAAACAATTCCTAATTATCTCTACAAATATTAAGACTTGATTAATAGTTTGGTTCCTATATTATTAGTTGTATGATCATTTTGGTTTAAATATTTTTTAACTTAATTAAATGTTTACGTTTTAAATATATTTAAATTGACAAATTTTATTCAATTGACTTTAACATTATTTAAAAGGTACTCTCATGTTAAAATCTAAATCATCATTTATCTCGTTATCTATTAAATTTTAACATTTAACACATTTCAAGTTTTGATGCATCATATTTTTTAAATACTTAATTAAATAAGATATTAAATTAAGGGTTAAATATGTTTTTAGTCCCTAAACTATTGGCCGGTTTTCATCCCTCTTTCAAAATAAGGTACAATTTGGTCCTAATTCTTTTTGAAACTCTAGTTTTAGTTCTCAAAACTTTGGTTTTAGTCCTCGAAAACTACCACATTTTTAAAGGTGTTAATTTTCGAGGACTAAAACCAAAATTTTGAAAAAAATGAGGATCAAATTGTACTTATTTTGAAAGAGGGACGAAAACCAGAAACGACCAATAATTTAGGGACTAAAAACATATTTA